CTCAGAGCTCTCTTTACAATGTCTGCTCCCACCTGCAATCAAGCAAAAGCAATTTTTTAAGCAGCTTGGAAACAAAATCCACACACAGAACAAATACAGATCATGTACAAGTTCCTTTATATCTCATTCTATGAGTTCCTTAACAGAACACTCTATAAGTTCTCAAAATGATGATTTAGCACATTACCTTTTCTTCATCGTTCTCAAGACTGTCCTTGATAGCATCCACCTTTGATGCCAGTCTCAGCAGGGTGCATCCACCACCAACCACAATACCTTCCTCAACGGCTGCCTGAAAACCATTGAGAGGATAATGACTGGATGGTGTCCAAATAATTTAACTAAGAACATAAGAACAATACAGGCAAAGGTGGTGTGAGATAAATTACCTTGGTTGCGTTAAGAGCATCTTCAACTCTCAATTTCTTTTCTTTAAGCTCTGTCTCGGTTTGTGCTCCAACCTTTAGCATTTAAAAGCATGCCCATTTAAGTTAAAATACAATTTATTCAGTTTGTGTCTCTATTTCATGAGTGATAAGAAAATTACCTGTATCACTGCAACACCGCCAGATAGCTTAGCAATTCTTTCATTGAGTTTCTCCCTTTCATAGTCTTGTTCAGCAGCCTGCATTATTACTATCTTGCATTTAGCATCAATAAACCACACTGGCAGAAGAAAAAACAAGCATGCATTTTTGTTATAAAGGAAAGGTGAGAAGACAGAATTGGCACCTCGATAAGATTTCTAATTTGAGCAACTCTCTTATTTACTGCTTCTTGGGTGCTTCCGTCACCAACAATGGTGGTTGTGTCCTTGGTAAGAACCACTTTAGAAGCATGTCCCAAGACCTCTTTGCCTACTTTGTCCAAGGCAAGCCCCACCTCTTCTCTGACAACAGTTCCTGCAACCGAATTAATGAAATTTCTAACATCAGCAAAATAACAATAATAATGCCAGAAGTGAACATTTGTATCCACTCCCACGCAAACATATAACAAGGGCATTCATATTCACAGTCAGGGCACATAATAGCTGAACACCATAAACAAAAATAAAATCATATAGAGGGGGAAGAATCCAAAGGTAAAACACTGACCTCCAGTCAGAATAGCAATGTCATCAAGGTACTGACTTTTCCGTTCCCCAAAACCAGGAGCTTTGAGGGCAGCAATCTTCAAAGCACCCCTAAGCTTATTGACAACAAGAGTTGCTAAAGCTTCTTGTTCAATGTCTTCAGCAATTATCACAACTGGATATCCAGCTCTAATTGCATCTTCCAAAATGGAGATTAGATCTCTTGCGTTTGTTATTTTCTTGTCAACAAGAAGCAACTATACCAAAACATACAGAATTGTCAGCATCGGGAGAAAAAATCAGCTACAAAAGCCTGCATGACTAACTGTGAATGGCATACCTTGCAGTTCTCATATTCAACTGACATTTTTTCACTATCAGTGACAAAGTAAGGTGAGATATAACCACGGTCAAACTGCATTCCCTCAACAACATAGAGGCTGTTATCCGCGCTCTTTCCCTCTTCAAGGGTGACCACTCCCTTCCGACCAACTTTGCTCATAGCTTCAGCTATCATATTCCCAACTTCATAGTTGTTCCCAGCACTAACAGCTGCCACATCTGCAAGTTCACTGTCTTCAACCTGCAATCCCAGAATATATTCATTCAATCCTTTCAACTTTTTTACTTGCATGCAAAGGTCACAGTGGCATCATGAAAATTACCCACGGGCATGGTCTACTTCACTCTACATACCTCTTTCGACATCAACTTAAGTTCGTTTACAAGAGCTCTTGTGGTCTTCTCAATGCCTCTAGTGATTAAAACAGGGTTTGCACCAGCAGCCACAACCTGCAAACAAACAAATGGATAAGGTTGCCACGCTCAACATTCTTAGAAGAATAAATGGTATGCACCATAATACCAACCTTGACACCTTCTGCAATAAGGCCTTGCGCAAGAACAACAGATGTTGTAGTCCCATCACCAGCCAAGTCATTTGTCTTGGCAGCAGCTTGTCTCACTAACTTAGCACCAATATTCTCAACCGGATCCTCCAATTCAACCTAATTTAGGGTAAAGAATTCTGTAAATAATCACAAAAAAATGATGCGCAACAAGAGGAGAAAATGATATGGTGAACAGAAAAGGCCACAGTCCTCGTCCAACACATGCGAGAACCAGAAGGAAGATAGATCATCATGCCACAAGAAATTCCTAAGCTCATAAATCTGTATATGGATAGCATAACGAATTAACATAAAGTGGAATATTTTGTTTGCCTCGTCCAAAGTGGGAAGCCACTACTACGATTTCTAGCATGCATGTAAAAAAGGAGAGGAGAATAGAGATGCTATCCCTCAAGTTATCAACAACACAAACAATCCAGAGAAAGCATACCTCTTTAGCAACAGTCACGCCATCATTAACAATTTTAGGCGAACCGTATTTGCTCTCAAGAACAACATTCCGGCCTTTAGGTCCAAGGGTAACCCCAACTAAATCCGCAAGCTTGTTCACACCAGTCTGCAATAAAGGAACATATCCGGTAAGCAAAAGGCAAAAAAGACCAACAAAACACACTGCAGCAGGATACAACTACTCAACAAAACCAGCAACTAAAAACTCACTTGCAATTTCTTAATTGCAGAACCGTCCTTGTTGAAGTGCAGCTCCTTGGCAGCATTAACCTTGAGAGAACGTGATCTTGGTAGAACTACATTCTGTGGCCTACCAAATCGACTTGCAGAAATGGAAGCGAAAGATGACAACTTGTTTGAAGAAAATACGAACTTCTTATCCATAGCACGGCCATTGGGAGCAGCCAAGGTTCCAACCGAAGACATGGCCGTAAAAGTCGATGCCATTTTTATTCTTTAATACCTGGTAACATTAAAAATAAATAAAAAAGGTTTGAGTCTCCGTATGATTTCATTTATTTTAAGCTCACTGAGAACTTCATTTTTATAGTTTCTAGCTAAAATTCTCAATGAAAGAGAATCCAATCACAAAATTCTATTCCCAGCACAATTCAATATTTTACAGTAACACAGTTCCCTCGAAGCAATAGAGTGCGAAACTAAATAATTCACAAGAAATAGAAACTATATAAAGCAGCAAACTTCAGGGAATTTTTCACAAGCTAGCATGATTAGCATGCCACAAAAAGGATAAGAAACAGTGTAAAGATTAAAACTTTATTACGATAAAGGCAAAACAAATAAGAAAGAAGAAGGGGGTGTGAGAGCTTACAGGGAAATGAAACGACCGGTGGTGGGGGAATGGGGTTTTAGAAATGGGGTTTATGGATGAGAGGCGATGGTGGGTGGCTGGGGACGGGGTGCAGGTTTATCCGATTGACACTCTCTTAGTCCTTGCAAGGCTATAGAAAGAGTAGGTTTTTACTTTTATGAGTGTTGCTTCGGGTTTGGTCTTGAAGGTTCTAGCGAATCTAGACCGTTGATGAGACTTATTGCCGCTTGATTTGTCTTATATTAGAACACTCTAGAACCTGTGGTGTTGTCATGTGGATTGCTTTGTTAGTGCTGGTAGTTCGGGGTACAACCACTACAACGACCAGTGGCCTACTTATGTAACGCGCTCCAAATTTATATTTTTAAAAATTAAGAAAAAAAATTAATTTTTGTTATTATCTTAACATATTATTTTAAAAATTAAGAAAAAAAATTAATTTTTTTTTTATTATTTTAACATATTATTATTTAAAATATTTTTAAAAAAATAAAAAAAAATAATATATTTAAATAAAAAACACTACCATTAACATAATCTCAATCACAACCTTGCCATATACACTCAGCATGAAGTGTGAAAGAAATATTTGGTTCCTCTGAGCATTGTTTTAACTTATACCGGTTTAATGAATTAATTGAGCTTGACCTGGCTGATTTTTGTTTTAAATAAGTCTGGATTGAAAAACATATAGGAAAAAGATAGTTAATTGGTTTAAAACTTAGAAAAAAAATAAATTTATCTAATTAAAATTAAAATACTAAAACTTATGTCTTAAAATCAAGATGTTCTTATAAAAAACAAATTGATATAAATTATTAAACTTAATTTTTAATTAATTCAATATTGAGTAATAAAATTAAAAAAATTAGTTAAATAAAAGATATAAAAAATAACTTCAATTAATCTATTAAATATTACTATCAAGATAATATAATAAAAAATAAATCATAAATTTTAACTCAACTTAAACGAAAAAAACTAATTCTTAGATACAATAAACAGAAATGAGAGAAGATTAAAAAAAAGAAGAAAAAAAGCTGAGTAGTCAAGTTATCCATCATGCAATAAACCATGTTCGTTTAACTTAAAATCTAATTGTCTTATGAGGATTTCATTATGATGTTTTATCATTAACATAATAAAATCCATCAATTTGAATTTAACATAAAAGCCCACGCTGGGCTTGGAATCAAAGCTAACACGAGATCAACATTGGGCCATGAGGATTAGTGCTAGTAAATGAGTCAGGCCCATGCCTTCCCGCATGCGGAATATTTTATTAGGATTAGCCGGGCGTCCCTCCTTGTCGTGGTTTCGAATAAATTACTACGCACGCTTATTGATACCATTTTCTGAGCTCCAGGAGCTTTTAGAAGAAGATGTAATTATACCTCCTTAACCCTAATCGAGAGGGAGATCGCTTATGATTAAATCGTAAGTCAATTAACATCAGAACTATGTAACTAATGCAGATTAAGCTCCTGGTTAGAAAATACCATTATGCTCAGGTGAAGGGGAGAGAGAGTCGTCTGGAGGCCATGCAAGGTTCCAAGTTCTAGAGCTAGTGCTAAGGTTTTCCTTTTATATACATATACATATGCCTCAGGTGAAGGGGAGAGAGAGTCGTCTGGAGGCCATGCAAGGTTCCAAGTTCTAGAGCTAGTACGCTAGTGCTTTTCCTTTTATATACATATACATATGCATACATTGACAGGATATTCGTGTAATTAAGATGGAGCGTTGAGGAAGTCTTTAAAATGACATCGTCTAATTAATATACTAAGAAGAATTTATATAATTTATGTTATTCTTTAACAATTAAAACAGAAATAGTAAAAAGAAAACTGACGATATGATAAACAATCAAACAAGAATTAATTAAGCATCTTGATCATGCGGGCGTGAAGGCGGTTGATCTGATCCAAAAACTTGAGCGTACAAGTTGTACTGATTTGCAGCGGAGGAAGAAGTCCCTTGTGTAGATGAGGCATGATTGTGAGATCCCTCGTACCATATTCGAATATCATCAGGGCTGGACCACTCAACTCTCTTCTTTGCCACACAATTCTGCTTCTGGCATTTAAAATAGCTCCTGGGATTATTTAATTAATTAAATGCACCACCATTAATTAATATACATGCAATATCACACACACACACACGTAGTAAAATTAATATTCATTAGTTAATTGCCAGGATCTATACACACACACACACACACACACACATAAACAATTAACATAGTCTCTATTGGCCCCATTTCATTTTAATTTAGAAATTAATTAACTAACCTCCGATCCAGCTACCTCCTAACCTTTAGTATTACTTAGTTTCTTTTTTTAATCTAAAAAAGAGCTACCGATTGCATTCCTGATGTTTGAGACATTTTCAATCAGGTTCTTCTTTCCATGTCTGTTGATTTTTTCAGACAAATTTCCTCGAAATATAGTAGTACCGTTTAATTGCTCAAAATATTCATTTTTGATCGACAGAAAAGAAAGAAATAAATAAATATTAACATGTGAAGGCATCTACAAGCAGATTTTAATTGAGATATGCATGAATTATTAGGAGCCTCATTGATGAATTTTTTTAATTTGAGATGAAATTGAGAATCGGGTAACAGATTAATTGTGGACAACAGATACAGAGGTTCCCTTCAACCCCCCATCCATAGATGTAAAGTTCTGTACGCAGAAAGGATAATTGGGGTTCAAGATTGATAGGAAAAGAACCCCTTAATGTATATTCTTCATATAAACATAGAGAATTGAATGTAATATTTAATAAATATACCGGAATTTTCCTCTTTTTTTGATGAACTTCTGGCCATATTTCTTCCATCCATGCCCATCTTCTGGCAGCACCAATCTCTGCCCTCCTGGATCTGTATACTGCTCTTCTCTATCCTCCTCCTCAGTTTCCCTTAATTATACGTATACAAAACACGAAATGAAATAATCATGAGTTGATTTATACATGCGTATATAGTGTTTACAGATATTGTTACTTTGTATTATCTGTGCTATAATATACATATACCACCACATGCATACATACATACATACATACATATATGTGTGTGTGTGTGGACACACGCACAGTACCCCCTCCATGACCTTCTTGCAAGAGGTGTATATTGCAAGAAGGTCATGGAGGGGGTATATACACCTCTTGCAAGAAGGTCATGGAGGGGGTATATACACCTCTTGCAAGAAGGTCATGGAGGGGGTACTTTGCGTGTGTCTATATACATATGTATTATATATAGCAAGGGGAAAATACAAATGAAGATGAGGAGCGAGCGCGCGCGGCGCCCTCTCGCATGTATATATGTGTAAGTACCAGGTACTGAAAGCAAAATGGAAACAAATTAACAGTACAGGAGAAATCATTGATAAAAATGGAAGTGCAGTATTATTGCATATTGCAATCATGGGTGGGGGCGTTGATATGGACGAGCATGAGGCGGCTGGCGTGCTAACTTGAGGTGTGTACAATATTTAAGATCCTCTTTTCCTTCAGAGAGAGAGAGAGAGAGAGGAAGCATATGGAGTCTTTGCGTGTATAAACTGGATCTATGCGCCAGCAAATAATTATATAACGCATATTAACTGATCTTGGGAGGGATAAAATTAACTAGCTAGATGGTGTTTTTAGGTTTTAAAGATGCAGATCTATACACGGATCCAAGATTATATGTACTAATTAACCTAAGATCACACTCACACCATTTGATTTCTTGAAAAAACCTGCAGCAAGGTGAATCTATATATGTAATATCCCGTAAATATATATAAAACGAGGGCATCACTCGATGTTACAAGCAGGGAGAGAAAATGGTTTTCAAGTTGAAATCATGCTGGTATTACCACTTCAAAAATAATTAGAAAAGGGTAAATAAAGAAGAAGAAGAAGCTAGTTTTGTTATAGATTTCGAGAGAAACACATACATTGGATGAATCTCGTATCTAGTGGCTTTGATGGAGAATCTAAAGGGCGCGCGCTCGGTGGGGCTACATATATAGAGAACTTAAACCCTAGCTAGCTAGCTTGATATCAAAAAGTTGCAAATTAATTAAGAAAGTGCTCCTTTCCATGAGCATTTTTCCACGGAGGAGGAGAGAGAAGGGGATATAAAGGGGAGCGGATCGAAAGCTTAGTAAGAGAATATACATGGAGGTTTCTCTAGTTGAAGAAGCTTCGCTCATGGTCACTGTTGATCCTCTCTACACCAAAAGAGAAGGGAGCAGCAGGAGTCTGTGTTCAACCTTTTTGTGGAAATTATGAGAGACGAAGGAAGGGCTGCAAGATTATTATAATACTATATATCTATTAGCTTTTAATTATATGGGTTTAATTTGGCAGCATATATAGAAAACAGCTAGCACTTTTATCTTCGGCAGCTTAAGGTCTATATATACAACATGCATGGCCGTAAAACCCGATCGGAGATCAATTCAGAGTAAGGCCCGGCCTAGTGTGAAAACCCGGGTTTTATAACAATATATAATATCCAATTATACTGAAAAATACACCCTCCAAACATAGCGCTCCACATATATATATAAAGTTTTACGAATTATAGATAAAAATAATTGCACCAACAAGACGGTTAAAAAAACAATTTTTTATTAATCTACCTTTTTCACTTCCTAATTTATTTTATATTTTTTTTACAGATAAAGAATTTTTATTTCATATATATTGCTATGTGAACGGTAGACTTTTCAATCGGATAATAATAATAAAAATTTAAAACTTGTGGGAAGACCTTTAACGCTCAAGGATTAGTTTATTCCACGTATGATGGCTATATATATTGGAAGAATTTTTAAATCCAAAAACGAGATAGAAAAGTATAATGGAAAGATCAAAAATCAATAATATTATATGTGATCTATTATGGTATTATTTATAGTTGTTATTTGAAAAAAATAAAGAAATCAATAAAAAATATATTTGGTATTGCAATAATTTGTATGTTCATGACTTGGAAAAATAAGTTTAAGTGTCTGTTTGTTATTGTGTTTGATCATATTTCAAAAACACCCTTATTTTTTAAGTATTTTTAATGTTTTTGATGTGTTTATATTAAAAAAATTATTTTAATATATTTTTAAATTAAAAATACTTTTAAAAGGTATTATACATTATAATATCAAACAAAGTTTAAAAAAACTATAAATTATAACTTTTTTATAAGCAACATCTAAATATAGAATTTTAAATATAATTATAATGCATATAAATTAACTAAATGTTTTCAAAATATAATTTTAACAACATTATCGGTTTGGTACTTAAGTAATATCTTGCAAGCCAAGAGAGCCAATCAAGTCTGGGAGTCAGTGTGTGTAGACTGGTTTATGATCATGGCAGTAATCGGCACACGTGTCGTGATCAAAATGGGAGATGGATTTATTACCGGGAGACATGCATGTCATCAATTAATTTATCTTGATGGAACAAAATGATGAAGAGAAATGGGTGATGGAGAGGAGAGGAATGGGAACAGGGAGGGTCCACATGCATGACCATGACCATCATGATCATGATCATGAAATATGCATGATGTGTACTTAATGTCGTCACCATTTTTCTCGCATTTAAATGCAAACCCTTAATAAGGGAGGATTGAAAAAAAATTGAATGCAAAAAAAAATGTCATCATCAAACCTAAAAATGTGATCAATCTTAAAATTTTGGTTTGATTAAGAAAATTTTTTATTTCAAAATAAAATCTTAATATTTTTTTATTTTTATCCGAGCATTCTCTTTTAAAAAATAAAACTAATTTTATCCGGAGTTTGTGACTGTCCTTTATAAAAAATATAGTTCTTAAATATTGAATTTGTATTTTTATCGGTGCAGAGATATAATAATATCTTAATTATTAAACCAACACTTTATTAGTAAAATAAAATCTTGATATGAATCTTCAATATAATTAATTAAAAATTATTTTTCTTAATAAATAAAAAAATATGTTAATTTAAATAAAACATCAAGTCATAAAGTTGATATAAGGATAAATATTAAGAAATTTATCTTTCAATTCTTTTATTTATTTATAGAATAATAGCTTTTTTATGTTAAAAACATAAGTCATTCCAAATAAATACAAAATTTATATTACTCAAAACTAAAATCAATTATCTTGTTAATGTACGTACATTATTTTTAATCTGAGTTGAAAAAAAATAAGTTATTAAATTTTGTGAATACAATTATCTAGTTTGCAAGTTTGATAAAATAATTTTGATTGTCTTGACTTGTGGGTTTAGTGATATACCTTTCATCTTTTTTATTTTTTTTTGAATTTCATAATTCAATATCGAGCTAATTGATAATTTAATTTCTTAATTTGTTTTGTTTTGCTTTTCATAATATTATCATAATCTTTTTTTTTAAAAAAAATATATACTAGTTTGACGCTTGATTTTATAAACATCTATTTTTATTATCATGTAATTAAATAACACAATAGCTTAGAGAAAAATAAATTATTAATCTCATTAGAGTCCATTACCTAGTTTGCGGGCTTGACGTGTTGATCCAGGCTATTCGATTCATGGGTTTTAGCAGATTTACCTATTAAACTTGATATTTTTTTTAGTTTATGTCTTTTAATTTTTTTAATTATTTTTTATTTCAATATTGGAGTAGTTGGGGAAAGAGGTTCATAGTTTATTTTTATATGTTTTTTACAGGGTTATCACAATGTTAAATAAACATTTTTTTAGGGTTGATACTTGATATTGCAAACATTTTATTTTTGTAATATAAATAAATAAAAATATATTTTTTAAAATAATATAAAATTAAACTAATTAAAATTTATGATTCAAATCAGAGTGATCAAGGTCAATCCAATCTAGCATTGTCTAAATATTTTTTTAAATATCATTTTATTTTTTTAAAAAAAATTATACTATATTTTTATTAATTATTTAAATTATCTTTGATCATTAATTCATTCTGATCAGCATCCATGTAATTTATTAAAAATTCAAGATAGATATAAAATTAGGTTAACAGATTTTAATATCCAATGGTTTGATTGAATTTAATAATAATGTGAAAAGAATTTTCATACTTTTAATTTTTTTTATTTAAATTTGGAAAAAGAATAGTCAGCGAATTTGCTTGTCTTGACCGTACCTGCTGTCTGAATCGGGCAAATCAAGAATGGGGAGAAACACTGTGGAAAGAGATACAGCTGTCATTCGCTGACTCGTCTCTTAATAAATGCTTGTGCTACTTTTCATTTCTAGCATGGACGCAGGATAGCGACCTGACCTCAATAAAAGCTTGATTAATTGTTGGATAATATTTAAATTTTTAATGGTGATTTTACAGGTAATTTTTTATAGAACAATTATTGCATTGCTGAAAATACTACTGTAGATTTTATTTTTATTTTTATTTTATTATATATTATAATTTGAATTTTTTTATTTATCTCCTTTATATTTTTGAATCTCTAGTTGTTTTATAGAAGACAAGTTGTCTTCCTGCATATTTAAATATTTTTAAAAAATAAAATTAATATCCACAAACAATCTCATTAAATCATACATTATTTTTTTAAATAATAATTTATTTTGATAAACAATTTGAATTAAAATAAATTCATAACAAAAAGCTCGTAGGCTCAAAAAGTGATGGATGCAGGGGAGCTGGTAGGGCCCTGCTCCTGTAAAAAAAAATTTTCTCAATTTTTTTTTGAAAATTTATAACAATAATTAAAAATTTAACTTAATTTCTTTAATTTTTAATTTAGCCCCCTTTAATTTTTTTTCTTGCTCCACCCTGGGCTCAAAAGGCATGGTTTTGAAAAATAATTATGAGGAGGTTTGGAAATGTAGTACAAATAGTATTTTTAAAAATTTTAAATTTTTTATTTTTATGTTAAAAAATAATTTTTTTTATATATTTTGAATTATTTTGATGTACTAATCTTAAAAATAATTTTTTAAATATAAAAAAAAATATAAAAAATATTATTTTAATATAAAAAATACTTTAAAAAATAATTATAATTACATTCCCTGTAAGTTTTAAATTTTATCAAGATAATACATCTATGGTATATTTTTATGTTGGTCATTTTTTAAATAAAGAGCAATATTAAATTTATATTTTTTAATTCAATTAAGTTATTTAGTAAAAAAAGCATATGCGTGGGATTCATTAAACTGTACATTTTAACGACAAAGTAATTAATGGAAAAAAAAAAGTTTTTTTTTGGCTGGTGCTGTCAATTTCTAATAATTATTGAGGGCCTCGACCTCAGTCGCCAGGACAATTTCCTCGTAAGTATATTAAAAATTACAAAAGTAATGGTGTTGAAGAGACTGCTTTCCGCCATGTTTCTCCAAATAGACTGACTTGACTTCCTGTTCTGAGCGAGCGAGGGGCTCTACCAAGAGTGGAACCTGACCCCCTCGTCTTTCCCGGAAAAAAACATGACCACTGACTGGTCCTGAGATAATTTGTTTAATGTTGATAGGTTTTTTTAAAAAATGTTCAGTTGTTTAAAATGTTTTCTTATTTAAAATATATTAATATAATATTATTTTTTTAAAAAAATTATTTTTTATATTACCATATCAAAATAATTTAAAAAAATAAAAAAATAAATCTTTCAAAAAAAATTCTTGAAACACAAAAATTAAACTAGTTATGATTTCTCAATTATTACAATCAATTTTTTTGGTTGGATTACAAACATTGCACACAGATATTACAATTATTAACACAGTATAATCTCACAATAAACATGGTGAGAATTCAATGGAGATATAAAGTTGAAAAAGCTATTGGAGTAATAAGGTAGGATTCTCCTTAGATGCTGCAATGGATACTTACAAAATTGGTAGCTTTTGCTAAAGAAAAGTTAGGGATAAAGATGTTTTAATGACAACAAATTCAAATCAA